CATTTGACATCATTCTAATACAGCAATTTGATTCCTCCAGTCTTAACCGTTCTACCCATATTATTAAGAAGATTTAAACCAAAAATTTAACAAAACAAGGATAGCAAATAGCACATAATGTTCCGACATTATTAACAAAAAAAACTTAAGAAAATATGTTTTTTTTTCTCAATTTAGTGTCGTTATTTTTTGTCCATGTTGTAATGCGAGAACTACACAAGCGCGTAAAAATTAAGTCAAAAAGGCATGCTCAAAAACAACTGGCTTCAAAAAATGAACAACAGACAAAAATATATTTAGATAGAAATTTCAAAAAAAAAAATTTGTTGTTTTGCACAATAATTTTTCGTTTATTTTAAAAAATTTTCATGGCCGGGAAAGTGCTAAAGTAAATTTTGAATGCAATTTTCAGTTGAAGTAAATAAGTTTTTTTCAGCCTAATTGTTGAATTTTTTTATAATAAATGTTATTCGATCGCGTTAGTCGCTTGAAACTAGACTGAACCTCAAAAATTTCGAAGTAATTTTTCTCATCACTGGGAAAATTTAAACAGAAATTTTGTAGGTCACTCGAATCATAATTAAAGGGGGCTTCAATATAATATATTTTTGACTCAATCTAAAGGTTATTTGTGGTACCTGATTTTGCGTGAAAAAAAAATTAACACACCTGAATACCAAGTTCCTCGCCATTTGCAATGGTCGGAACAACAAAAAACAAAAGTTTTAAGAAAAAGTTTGAAAAAAAATTATATTTGTATCCAATTTAACCTATTGAATTGACTGCAAAATCAAGAATAACGATAATTTATTAGTTCATGCTATATTCAATAGTTCAATATGCTATATTTAATAGTTCATGCCGATTCTTTTAAGCTTTGATAAATTCCAAAACTTTTTAAAATTAAGCCCTTTTTCATGACTTTGAGCTGAATTATAAAATTTTTGAAGTCTGAATGTAGGCTGAGAAGGCTTCGTAGAACAAGAAAACTTGAAAGGTCACTGTATTGAAAGGCGGATTTTCCGAATTAACTTCTCGTAGTGAATATTTAAATCACGTTATTAGTTGCTCAATTACATTTGCACCGATTCTGTGATGAGTAAATCTGTTTTTCATTGTTTTCCTACAAACCCATGCGTTTGTAGAAGAACTTTTGATGAGCAGAATTTTTCATAGCTTAATTGGTACACAGCCGTTAATCTTAAAAAATACAATCAGAGTTTTTCTGGTAAAATTTGAAATCAAAGCATCCTATCCTTATTTTTCAGACTTATTAAAGTTACGTCAAAAACCATTATACCGACAGTACAAACCATGCCCAGCACAAGTATTCTGCCATTTTACTTCAAGTAAACAAAAAAAAACCGTTAGTTGTTCCTACTTTCGACTAAGAAAGTATAGAATATTTATGTCTAGTTAGTTTTTTATCATTTAACTTTCGAATTTTCATCTGAGTTGTTTTGTCATTATTCTTTAAGGACATCTGAAACCCTGCCCTCAAATTTAAAACTATTTTTTCACAGTGATCACGTTTTGTAAAATTTTGGAGGTTCAAAATTGCCAACTTGGCTAATTTTGAAAAGTGACATGCGCTATGTTGCGTTCTTATAACACTCGTAAACAGCAAGTTAAATCATTCCAAAGTGAACTTGGAAAGGATCAGTACGATATGGCCACAAAGATTTCTCCTGATGTATATGACAAATTCTACTGCTTTCTTGGAAAAATTATGCTTTTTAGCTCTAGAAAAATTCTCATTAATCATGCGGTGATAATCGCTGTTTTTTATCGCTTTTTGAAACAAAAAAATCAATTTGAAAAACAATCAGAGCACTTTCAGGAAGCAAGGTAAAAATTAGATTAGTAGAGTCGCGGATAGGTTCAGTTTTTGTGTTTCTGAGAAATAGAACAGACTTAGTCCAAAATTTAGTCGGTTAAAGCACTGATGCGTTTTTGGAAATTCCGAGAAATAGAATTGCAGCTTTCGTTTTATGATTTTAAAAGAGAAAAATTGAAAAATTCTGCCGTATGATTGAAATCTGCTGCTCAATAAAATAATCTGCTCTATAAACTAAAGTCAGCCCTTTCTGCTAAAATTTTCTGCTAGCAAAATTTTTTGGGGCCTGGATATGAGACGCTAAAAAGAAGACAAAATTGAACAAAAAAATCTTTCATTTTTTTAAATTAATATATAGAGTTCAAGGCAAAAACTTTTTAAAGCTAAAAGCTCTAAGATACAGGCAAAACCTTATATTTACCTGACAAACGTTTTACGCTGACATACGAGCAGCCTTGTTGTTCCGACCATTGAAAATGGGGAGGAACTTTGTATTCGTGTGTGTTTTAGTTTTTTTGTTTTCCACCCAAAATCAGCTACCATCGGTTAATTTTTGGACTGGGTTGAGATATATCATAATAAAGCTCTTTTAGTCGTGATTTGATGACATTCAAAAATTTTGAGAAAAGTTAACCCAGTGTGAAGAAAAACCGTTTAGAAATTTTTTATTTTTCGTCTAATTTCTTGCGAATGAACAGGCTTACATTAATTTTTTTAAGCTTAGCTTAAGCCTTGGAAATTTATTTTTACTCAAACGAAATTAGTTTTTTGAGTTCTTAGCTTTATCTTAGGAATCAAAAACTTCAAAATTTCAAAAATTGTTTTTGAAACATTAAAAAAAAATAAAGTTTTTTTTAATTTTTTTTTTCTTGTTACTTGTCTTCAAAAATTGTTTTGCAATTTGCATATTTTACAATGACTGACGAAAATGCACGAGCTTTGTTTTTTCGCTCAGATTCCTTTATCACACCATGCCAAAAAATGACACTAACTTGAATAAATAATTTTGCTTTAATATTTTAATATTGGTCGGAACATTCTGTGCTATTGCAACCGGCTATCCTTGTTTCTTTTTCGTTTACTTATTTTAAAAAATCTATATTCAAATTTCATTACACTCAAGAGGCTATAGTTTGAGTTTATCTTCAATCTGTCACTTGCCATTGAAAAAAACTTGTTGAACTGTTAAAAGTCACTCGAAGTTTTACATATGTGATGGTTATGAAGTGAATCTTATAAACGAAAAAGTTTTTTGTTGACTTCATGACTTCATAAAACTATTTCATGCTCCTGAAATTATATTTGTTTTTTTCTCCAAGTTTTAGTTCCATCCATTTTTTGGCTCAATGTATACTATCATTTTTTTTGTCGGGATCATTTGCTTACATTTTTATCATTTAGGGTAAATTTTTTAGGATAAAAAGCAATATAGTATAACCGCTTGCTACCAATATTTCTCTAACTCCGATCCAGTACATAGGTATGCTAGACACATGCTAACACGCCAGCCCATATTTGTAAGCTACAGCGTCATATCAGCAATGAACCCATATAAGGGAGCCAAAAAGTCTTCTTGCAAGCACTGAGTGAAAGAAAATAAGGAATGATATTTTAACTCTCAGTTACAGTCACTTACCTTTCTTGACGAGAACCATATCATATATATTCATATCATACACAAAGTCATCATATTCTCGTTCCTTTTTTAAGAAAAAATAAAAAGGATAATTTTTTTGTCTAAATCTATGATTTTATTGTTATAAAATCTATTTTGTACAAAATTTCAAAGAATTTTTTCTATTTTGTACATAAATTCAAGTGATGTATTCTATTTTGCAGATAAATTCAAGCCAGTGATATTTTTTATTTTCGATTTTGTTTTGCTCACTTCAAACAGGTTTAATTTTTTAAACGGAGCTTTACCGGAAGATTTTTAACATCTAAAAGATATTAACGCAATGAGCTAATAATTAGAAAAATCTTTACCTGAGCATTTTTACACAAAACTTTGTGGGTTTGAATAAACGAATTTGGAATAATTAGTGCGCGCTATATTTAGTTCTTTACAATGTCGATTAAAATTACCCGGACCAAGAAATCTGAAGGCTTTAAACTTGAATTTCCAATCTGAAAAAAGCACAATTTGATCTCGTATTGTGCGGACCTTGTGGAGGCAAAATTCTTAAACGGTGGTTGCCAAAATGTTTTTGGTAAACAATTTTTTGCTCAAATCAAAAGAATTTTCCGGAAACTTAGATAAAGTTCACAGTCTTGTTGCATCAATTGAATGTCACACAATGCTAGCAGACAAAAATGAAGCTAAAGGCAAAGTCGAAAAACCACAATAAAAAAAAATGTGTATCGAATGATGTTCACTTTGAAAAAATGTTTTGTAAGAAATCGGCAGCGTTAACTAATTATTTGGAAACAATTATCGATCGAAAACTAAGCTGACAAAACTTGGGTGAGCTTCCGTTGAGCCGAAAACATATTTGTTGTCTCGGAAACTTTTGAGCCATTAATCTTCGAAACAAAGATGTTTTGCCTTTTGTGTTTCGGCAGGACAACAGGACAATTAGTTAGCATTGAAATTACTTTTTTCACTCAGACGATGCAAAACTAAGTAAATAAGAAGCCGAAAAAACATACTTCGAAAACATACGTCATTTAGGCCGAATGAAGTTTAAAAGCAATAAATAAAAAAAGAGAATATACAAACCACTTGGATGCAACAAAAAATGCTCAGAACTAAAAAAAAACAATCTAATGTGGCAACTAACCCATAGAAAAAATAGATAGGCCAACAACAATCAGACAAATGATAAGCCGATGATTTTTGAAACTGACATTTTCAGTTTTAAAAAAAAAACAGGTCCTGGCTCGATTCGAACCTGGGACTTTTACCAGTTGTTCCCCGCAAACGCAGATAACTAGTAGTTTGAATTTATTATAAATCAAGCTATCAAGTGATTCAAACTACTTTGTTAAACATGTTTTTATCCCGAAAAAAGACCGATTTGATAACCGTACGCGTAATTACCTATATTCTGTTTATTATAAAACCAATTTTCGACTTAGGCAACAAAAATTGAAGCACAGTGTTTCTGCCAACTAAGCCATTTAAGTTTTTGGCATAGCAGCAAGGGCCGATTCTGTGTTCCAGGAATCACCACAGTGTTGACAATGACTACCATCTTCACCAGTGCCAGAGCATCACTGCCTCGCTTCTCCTACGTCAAGGCCATCGACATCTACCTGCTCACTTGCTTCGTCTTCGTATTCGCATCTCTCATAGAGTACGCCATAGTGAACTACAACTTCTGGAAGATCAAACACCGACTCAACAAAACTGTCAAAGGCAACCACAACAACAACAACGCCAGTACAGCTGCTGCAGCTGGCTCACAGAGTATGCATAATGTACCAGCCCAGATTCAGAGGAGTTCACTCCAGATGACGACAACGGGGAACCAGCAGAGGCATTCTGCAGAAAGTTCGGCCAAAAATCTGCGCAAGGTCCTTAGCTCAGATGTGAGTGAAATCGCCCGGAGTCACAATTATCGTTTTCGAATTTGAACATTTAAAACGCGTTTTTGTTTAAGTGTATGTATCAATCAGGTATTCAAACGGTGCTTACCGATTCTTTTGTGTAAATTAACATCAAGTACATGTCGTTAACTCCAAAAAGAAGTGTTTCAACATCGACACTATGAACAATTTTTTTTTCTATTTAAATGAGTTTCTATATGTTCTCTGATGTTTTAAGGCTCTGACACCGGATGAAATGATAGCACTGCGCTTATCCACTCCAACATCAGCCATAAACTCGAACTCTCCCGATCTGCCAAGGAAGATGCTGACTCCCTCACTCTCCGCTAACTCTATTCCCCCCAGCAGACAACGCAAAATGGCATACAGCTGGAACAGCAACGCATATACAGTAGGCAATAACTTACAGGCACCTCCTAGTGCCCCATCAGTTGTGAAAACATCAGCTGCGTCGGCCCAGAATTTCGCCAAAGGATACGTCCAATCATTCCCATCTCCTCGTGGTGGTGCCCTGCCGATAGCACACCAATCAGCTCGGGTGACCGAAACATCTATGATGCAGAAATATCACAGCAGCGGTGGCGCCTCGCCGTACTCGGGTCTTCGAGAGACACCAGGAAGTTTTACTCATCCAGGACCGATGGTCCAGAATTCCGCACAGCAGCAGGAGATCGATCAATCATATCTGAAATCAAACGGATCAGTAGTGAAAAGAAGGAACCATTCGTCCAAGCATAATAACGCCTCCTCGCCCAGTCAGCAACCACCTAATGTGAAGAGAGTAGTTTACAAACCGGCCTTCATGGTTCAGAGTGCGTCAGTTGGAAAAAGCGAGTCATCGTTTTCCTCCCATCTCTCGCCTTCGATTAATCAGCCAATCACAGACTCGAGTAGTGTTTCCAGTAGTCATTACCGCCATCGACACTCCTCCACACACCACTCACAACAGGCCTTCAATGTCTCCATGCCATCATCAATTAACCGCCTCACTCTATCAGATGGGAACCCTTCAGAACTCCATTGTCCACCTCACAAGACGAAAAGTCACAATTCAAATGGATTATACGCCCTCTTACGGGCATTTTGCACATTCTGGCTCAGTTTAGAGATTCCCAGCGGAGAAAGGGTCATTATAATTGACAGATACTCACGCTGTCTCTTCCCAACCGCTTTCATTCTTTTTAACGCAGTTTACTGGTGGTACTATGTTTCCTGATTACACTATTATTCAGACACTTTACTTAGAAAATTTCAGGGCAAACTTCCAATTGTAATTTAATAATTTATTTACTCAGTTCACTGAATTCATTTTGGGAAAATATTTCTTTTTCACTACCATAATCGAAAGAAAAGCTGATCAAACGTCAAAATCCATAGGTTTTCTTGTGGGTAAAGGCGAGAGTTACCCTGGCGATCATTATGCAGTCGATTGTTGTAACACATATGCTAGCGTTTTGAGCACAATAAACATTCAATTTTGGGCTTTCTATGGACCTTTAGCAGTTCCCGAAAAAGAACGCGTCATTCATGAACTTATAAATTTTCAAGGAATTTTTCAGCATTTTTTTTTTTCGTTTTTTGCCGATTTTTTTTTGCTGAAACTTAAGTTTTGGTGATTAGAAAAAACTTGATGTTTAGTGATATGCATTTTTTTGCTGAAATTTAAGTTTTAAAAATTTGAATTTTTGTTTCGTTTTAAGCAGACTTCCAAGTCAAAAGCCAAATGGAAGGCAAAATACGCTCCAAAACCAAAACTGCAAATTGCTCCAAAATGCGTGATTGATTATGTTTTATAGGAAGATTTTAATTTTTTAGAGTTCTCAAAAAGTGTCTTTCGTAAACAGTTTTTTTAAAAAAATCTCTTACAGGGGCCTATCCAAGGCTTTAAAGAATGTTTTTTTTTTGTATCTTAAGACCCGTTATAGAGTCATATCGCTCATGCAAGTTATTAACATTGGTTATAGAAATAAAAATGTGTTAAGATAGATAATAATAGAAAGGCTTTCAGTATGTGTACCATGATATGAAATTGGTAAGAAAAGTGGTGTTTTTGTTATTTTTGTGTAAAAATCTCAAGTATGTGAAAGAAAAAGGGCGCGCGTTATCTAATTGAAGATTATCAGTCGTCTGTTAGAGGTAGGGCGTAGTGAAGTCATTATAGAATGTTTTTTGGATTCATGGAGAGTCAATTTTTTTTAAATTTCTCCTTAAAGTTTCTCTTCATTTTTTATCAAGAAAGTTAAAAGTATGGAAAGATATGAAGTAGTTCTAATTGATGGTTCGTGGATTTTTGAAAAAGATTTTGCTATAAAGTTTGACACAGAGGCGAAGCTGATGTTGCGATACAACGAAAGAAAATCGAAAAATCGAAAATGTCGAAAAAATTAATCTATCATAATGAATCAGGCTAGTTTTACAACATGCCGAGACAATAAAATGCGAAATTAGAATCGGAAGATATTTATACAAAACGGTAACAAATAACTTTTTTGAAAAGTCCCCCTCGACCTCAAAACACTCTAAAATCTTTATTTGCTTGTCAAGATAACTAAGCCGATATAAGGTATTCCGAAAACTTTTAAGCCCAAAAAGGAAAAGAAAAAATTTGAAAAAAAAAGTCGAAAAAAAAAGAAAAATTGAGAAAAAGTTTAAAAAAAAACGAAAAAAAGTTAGTAAGCCCCCTCGTCCTCAAAACACAGACACACACACACACACATTTATTCGCTCATCGAAGTACGCAATATGAGGCTGATAAGCCGGTTTGATAAAGGCCCAAACCTATCAAGCCTGAACAAAAGGGAAAAGACAAAAAAGGCGTAAAAAATTGTTGTCTTGAGAAATTCGAATTAAACTTCTTTTAAGATGTTTAGCATTTTTTGCAATCGAGAGCTGACCATTAAAATAAATTTCCCTCAAAACGACACGAAATAAAGTCACTTGGCCGATAACAAATGGGCGGAAATCTTTAAGGCAGAACAAATTTTTATTAAGAAAAAAACAAAATAAATATATACGATGTCAAGGTGGAGAAAAACTATAAGCAAACAGCAGAAGTAACTCATAACACTAAAAGCAACCATAATGCTAAAAAAAATAAAAATCAATAAACGGTTTAGTTGAATGGTAAAAACAAAGCGGAAACTAAGCCGACAAAAAGTAAAACACAAATAAGGATGCACAGGGAGAGTAATAGACCAACGAGCTGAAATATAAGATTACATGCATGCAAGCTGAAATCTGTGGACTACGGGAAAAACGTCTATTACCCCATTAAATTACCCTAGAGTAATTATGCTGAAACCAACTGAAAATTGGCAAAAAAGTGAGTTTTCGTGAGAAAAAAATATAATTAACAAGAAGGTATGCATATCATTGCATTGTAATTAAGTAAACCGCAAGCTTATAAGAAGTTGTCATTTAATCATTAAGAGACTGCGTAGTAAATCTTTTATCACTTTGCATCATTTCTTATAAATTCAATAGTTTTGTAAGAATTCCAAATTTTTAGACTTGTCTTTTTGATTAAAAAACTAAGTCAATTCATTATACAACAACAGATGGTTTACAGTTTTGACAGTTCAGCTATTACTCTCGTCAACAACATCAGAGAAAGGAACTTGAGGAAAGTAACGAAAAAGAAATGAATTAGTGTCTGATTTGAACAAGATTGTGGAGGACGGAACAAGGGGAAGATTGCAAGAAGCTGAGTAGTTGTTGAGTAATTATCAGCTTTTGCTATTGAATAGGAAGATAGAAAACGGTAGGCATAAGGTATTCTTCCCCGCACACAATAGAAAATGCTGATAATTACTCAACTCCTCCTTCAGAGTCTTACCGTCTTCCACTTCTGCCTCGACAATTTCGTTCAAATCAGCCACTGTTTCATATGTTTTCCGTGCGTTGCTCCAATTTGTTTCCTACAATGTTGTTGAAGATAGTTATAGCTCGCAAACTCCTGTTGACATGATGTACTAAGCGTTGATTGCTTAGGAGTAGAAATTGCACGTTTTTTAGTGACACGATAGTCCATCTCTTAGTACAGTTGACACAGTTTTGATACTTTTTTTTCTAACATCTTTTCCGATGTCTTGCAAGACAATTGAGCGAGCTGTAATGTTGACAGTCTTCATTTTTGACGTTCTCACTTCGAGTAAGGGCATGCATTATCTAACCAGTTGAGCTATTTAAATTTAATCGAAAGTCGTATGAAATATTGAAGAGTCTTATTTATCCCCCTACCCTAAACTCCACTGCAAAATTCTCTGTTCTTCCGTTTCTCTAACGTTTTTCAAAGTTCACATCCAGTGGAATAAGGTTCAAAAACATATTTCCAGAGTCTTGTTTTGAAAGTTTATCAAGCCGAATTTCTTTTTGCAAATCTACATAAAAATCGAAAATATCGATTGCTTTCTCAAAAATGAACAGTTTTTCATTGCCTATTAAAAAATTTTTAATTAACTTGATGTGAAATTTTGCAGAATTGTTACCTTTAGGACATTTTCCATTGTTACTTATGCCGGCAAAATTCGCTAATTTTTACAGTAAACAATTTAGGATCAATTTTTGCAGTATGCTAAGAGTATATAATTACTTTTTTTCTTTGACTTCCTAATTCCTAAATCAATAAAACAAAAACAACAAAACCTCTATTTAAAAACCACAAATTGTAAAGTTTTCTTTAAGACTTTGATACTTGTTTCGCTTGAAAGAAGCTGAATTTTGATTGAATACGAGTTCAGTCCATATCAACAAAATCTGTCTGATTGGTTCAACCCACACAGTTGAAATGGCATAGGTATAGTCAACAACGATAATCAAGTTCTCTGAGATCAGTTCTATAGTGTTCAATCACCAACTTTTTTCTTTTTACATCACTCTCAGCTCTTGATTCAAAAAAGCTTCTCAGTCTAGAACAACAATTTTTTTACTCAGTAAACTTTTCCACTCCGGTTCAAAATTAGGTTCGGGATACAGCTTCTGGAGTCTTCTTTACCCAACTGAATTTTTCATTCCATATGTGGCGCAATTTGAAGTCATGAGCAGATACTTTAGTGAAAATCATATGCAACAGGTATCCATCACCATGAAGGAGGCTTAGAACCGTGGGAATGATGTCGAAGATAGCAGGCAACGCTCGGATAAACTATCCCATGTTTCTTGACTCTCGGTTTGTGGCTGCAAGAGTGAACAATTTCCTCTTTCCCTGAGATCGACCTGCTGAGAATACAATTGCAATTGAAGAGGGAGAAGGTTTTGCAGAGCCAATAACTTCATTGAACATTTCACCCAGAAAACCAATGGCGATGGAGCTGAGAACAGTTTTGTGCTCCAAACAGAACTTGCAAAAATATGAGTATTCAGCTGCTCGAGTTCTTTGATTTGTACTTTTTTTGTTTGCTGTCGCCTGTTTTGTAATTTTTTCTCAACTAAGATTCAATTTTAACAGAAGAGGATGAAACCATTTTGTAGATTTGGTGAACTATTGTTTTCACGCATTTCAAAGAAAACTTATTGCTTGCATCTTGCAAAAAATTTGACTCATTTTTCTGCGAAAATTTTCAATAAATCAAAACTATGCATTTTCGCAAATAATATTGTTTCAATTGTTAAGATTTCAAGAAAAATGCAACAAGGTTCTCTCGCGCTTTTGTTTTTTAAAATTTTTCAATTCCTTGGTGTTGTTTTTTTACCTTTGATCAAAGTCAGATTCTAATGCATACTGATCAAAAAAAACACTAACATCGTTTTAGGATTGGGTTTTAAAATAGTTGACAATAGTGATTGTTCTCAGTGAAAAATAAACGGCTTTTTAGCAATAGTTTTTTCCATTTTTTAACATATTTTTTTAGAAAGACAAAATTATTTTGCGCACAAGCTACAAAAATTTGTAATTGTTCAATTTGGAGTACCTCACTTTCGTGGGTACTTGTGTTCAATTATAGATTCAAGCAACTCGACTTCGTTTAATTTTGTCTGAACAAGTTTTAATTTTTTGAATGAAGGTTCCTTGATAGCTTTCTTGTGTCAAATCATCACTCAGGTATTTCGTAGTCGAGTCTCTAGATCGATCCATTATTTGATAACCGCAAATTTAGCTAAGAGAAGTATCAAAAAATCTTCTAAAACAAGTGAACGAAGACGTTCATCTCCTTCTATGATACCATCAACCCCTGAATATACAGAAAACTGAAAAACTTTTTTCACGAGAAAATTTTACAAAACGGTTATTTTTTTTACACTGCAAGCCAAGATCCACATGAAAAAAGAAAACAGGAGTTCAAACTGATCCGTT